TTTTTTTTTTTTTCTAAGTGGTTAAAGATTGAGGTAAGGAATGGTGTTAACACCAGAATTGATGATTTCAATTGGGTGCCGAACCTCCATAATTCTTCTCCCACTTTAATTCCTGTTGCTAGAGGACATCTGACATGGGTTCAAGATTTATTGTTGTCCATGGTTATCAGTGGAATGAGTGGCTGGTTTCTCAGTTTTTTATGTCACTGACAGCAATGCATTTCTTAGCATATCTTCTCTGCATCCAGAAAGAAATGATAGGTTATTTTGGGTAGAGATGTTAAACGGGCTAGCCCTAGCGGTTTCGGGCTAGCCCTAACGTGCTTTGGGCTAAACGGTCTGGGCCTAAAAAGCCCAGATTTAAACGGGCTACCAATAAAAGGACCTAACCCTAACCCTAGCAGGCTTCGGGCTAAACGGGCTATGCGGGCTATAATAATAATAATAATAATAATAATAATAATAATAATAATAATAATAATAATAATAATAATAATAATAATAATAATATATCAAAAAATATCAAAAATAAAAATAAAAAAATTATAAAAAATTACAACGACTAATTAACGATTGTTTTTAACGGTTATTTAGTATTTACCACTTTATATATACAACCACACATCATATATTAACACACACTACAAACTCTTAAATAAAATATTTTTTTTTTCAAAAGAAATATTCGAATTATTACTTACAATTACCATTTTACTACTTATTTTGTACCCTTTGGAAATTTTACGATATTATATCATTATAAATTCTATCACTATGTTTCATGTATTAGGTCTTTGTCTCATGTGTTTCCTATTAGTCGTTCTGATTGACTTAAATATTTTGGTATGGAGAAAATTAAGAATATTGTTAATAATTATCGTTCCAAATCATTATAATCCGTTACAGCTCATACTTACATTTGAAGTGGAATAGCAAAATTGTAATGTACAATGAATATAAGAGCATATTATTTACTTGTTGCAAACATTTACAACGCCCAACTCAAGTTAAACGGGTCAGCCCTAGAGGGTTTCGGGCTAGCCGTAACGAGCTTCGGTTTAAACGGTCAGGGCCTAAAAAGCCCTGATTTAAAAGGGCTACCAATAAAAAGCCCTAACCCTATTTTTCTGGGCTAAAAGGGCCGGCTCGTCGGGCCAAGGACTGTTTTACTTCTCTAATTTTGGGGGCTGGATAAGAAGGGCCTCTTCTCTGTTTCTAGTACCTACAAGCATATATCCTCTCTCACGTTCTTGCAAACAGACATCCCTAAAAGCAGTACAACCTCTCCTCACAAGTTGGCAATCAAGTGCAGGCACTGGAAACTGAATATTGCTGGTAAAATTAAATTTTTTCTGTGGAAATGCTTATCAGGTACTCTCCCAGTGGCTATGCAACTTAAGAAAAGAGGAGTCGATCTAGACATCACCTGCTCTATCTGTGTTGAAGCTCCAGAAACTATTGAGCATCTAGATTCTGGAAGCTATGTCTAGTGCAATGGGATGGACCCAAGAGCATCACTGACTCCTTTAAAGCATGGTGGTACAAGTCTGCTCACTGGATCACTCAGAAGTTGTTGAAGCAAGAATCCAACTTATAACATACATGCTTTGGTGGCTTTAGAAGTCCATAAATCTTTGGATTTTTCAAAGTTATTTGATGTAGAACATGTGTTGTCCCAATTGGCTCATTCTGATTGGCTCCAATTCACCCCAGCTTCTCTATAGCTTAGTTATTTCTGTGTTATCTTCAGTTGTTGTTTTTTAGAATGTAGCTCAATGCTAGGCTCTGTAGCAGTGATAAGGGGCTTCATTCTCTAGTGTTGATTGTGGCAGGCTTTAGGCCTTGCTTTTTAGTTTTTCTAGTTGAGGCTCTAGACCGCTTTTGGCGTGTCTCTCATGTTCTTTTTATTTAGTGGCTCATTGGAACTCTTGTATTCGAACTTTGTTCACTTCGAGTTTTATAATAGTTATCTTTGTCGTTTTAGAAAAAAAAAAAAAAATAATAAAGTAGTAGGGTGCCCAATATTTCGGTTATATGTTGATTTGGGCTTCATTATTATGAATGCATCATCCCACAATAAAAAAGGATAAAGTCAAGACTATATATAGTTAGAGCTGTCAAAACGTGTTGGCGGGCCGGAGCGGCCCATAGCCTGCCAATTGGCGGGGCGGGCTGGCCTGCCATCTTGGCGGGCATACGAAATGCAGGGCCAATGTAATACCCCTTTTGATTATGGATTATTTGAGATTAATATTTATTATCTTTATTATCATTATTATTATTTGTTATAATTTAATGCCTAATTATAAATTATTTGTCTAAGTGCTTGATATATATTAATAAAAGTTATTGTTATTTATATTAAATGTCTAATTTGCCTAAATTTTAATATGTGTTTAAATGTGTATTATAAAATAAATATTATTATGTGTATTATATATATATATATATATATATATATATATATATATAAATACCCGGTTTTATTTTAATTATAGTACGATTATTATCGAGCCTCGTCTATTGTTATTGAAGAACCCAGAAAACCGACCCGAGGTCGCGCCCCGAACCCGCATGTTCAGTCGACCCGCGCGCGCTTCGCCCAAAGAGACCAACCCGACTCTCTCTCTCTGCCTTAAGTTACTTGTTGATCAAGATGAGAAACATAGCCTTATAAAAGGCAAGAGAGTTTCCTCTCTCTCATACGCAAATCACACCCCATCGCAGACCCTAAAACACGTCTCCTCTCTCGATCAATCTCTCCCATCTCATCTCTCGCTTTCCCTTCTCCTGCCACCATCATTCACCGACGATCATCACCATCATTAAGTGCACCATCATCATCATTCAAAGTCGTCGGCCATCACAGAAATCCGTTCCTCATCATCGCCGCACTGCTGCCCTCGCGTGAAACATCACCATCATCATCCTGCCATCATCACCGCGAACAGAACACCAGGCCGCTGTGCTCCTCCACGTCCAAGCCCCATTCGCTGCTCATGATCACGCGTGAACCACCGCAAACGACCACCGCGAAGAGCTAGGTCAGCGTTCGGTTCCGTCGATCATCATTGCTTGTTGCTGCCATCGTCGTGAGGCTCTGTTCCGTCGTTGCCCATCGCCGCTGATCACGCTCAGGCCACCGCAGCGCCATTAGATGTGCGCACATCTTTAGTCAAGCCAAGCTTGCTGTCCCGAGACTCGTGTTCCGTCGGCAAGCCAAACGAAGTTGTCGAGCCCCCTCGTGCGGTCCGTTTCGACCCCGGCTCGATCCTTTCGTGTGTCCCCATCCCGAGAATGGTACCTGGACTGATTATCCCCCTCGATTTGATGTGTTTGTATTCGTTCTTGTGATGCTTTAGTATTATTGCATGAACTAGGGTTCTAATTAATTGATTATATGTATAGTTGTATTTGATTTACTTGAGATCATGCGAGGTCTCATTTAATTCGTGTAAGTGCTGTGGGAATGGAACCTTGTTGATGTCTTTGGCCTTGTGGCGAAGGCCTTGGACGTGTTGGTTGAGTTTCGAGTCATTTATGATTTTATCGAACCCGTATAGTTGCTGAATATTTGTTAAATTCATCGTAAATCGCATGCTACTCCGAATGCTTCGAACTTTTATATGTGACGTCTTGTGGTGATTATTCATGTTGTGTAAAAATTTCATGATTTAATTCCAACTGTAGCTATTTTTAATAATTGTTTTGATTCCTGGGCAGAATATTGTATATTGCATATAAATTCGAGTTGTGGTTCAAAAAAGCTGAATTTTTAATATGTTGTCTTTCTGTCATATTTAGATATTGTGTGAAAATTGCATAATTTTTTGACCTTGTTTGCTAGGGTAATTAATTATTTGTATTATTCTGCTGAACCTTGTTTTGATTTTTTAAAATCTTTCCCTTTCTGTAAATTGCTGAATTTTGGTGAGTATACTCTTGATATGTTGTATTATGTTGCATAAAAGTTTCAGAATTTTATATGTTCGGTACCATAGGTTTTTAATTAAAATAAGTTTTCTAATGAATATATTCATAATTTTTATAATTTGTGTGATAAGTGTTTAAAGCTGAAATTTTTATATGTTGGTATCCACATGCTGTAGCTACTTGCGTAAAAATATCAAGGGTTAACTCGTTCATTTGGTCATACTTTATAATTTTGCTCGTTTTTGCTGAAAACT